GGTTTTGTAACTCTAGTGAAGAAATCAGATATGCTCTCACTATCTTTCATCTGAAGCAATTCACAGGTTCTCTTGTGAGTTTGTAACCTCACTTCTTTTACCTTTTCTACACCACCAAAGGACTTCTCAAGAACATCCCAAGCTTCTTTTGCAGATGAGTCACTTACTTTTTCAAAGTTTTCTGGATTCACACATTGATGAATTATAAATGGTGCTTTATAACTCACCTTCTCAATTTTTGTGTGTTTCTTCTTTTCTTCTTCTGAAGCATTTTCTCCAAGCGCTTCGACTCCATCTTTTACAAGGTCCCAAAGCCCTTGACACCTGAACAACACTTTCATCTGTTTGCACAAATTCTCATAGTTGTCTACTTTCAGAATTGGTAGAGTTGCTAGATAATTTGCATTCCCATAATTCGCCATCGTGAATTCTTCAATCGTTCTTGATTGATACTTCCCTCAAATCGAAACAAAGCTCTTGATACCAGATGTTGGAAATCCACCAAAATCTATGATGAATTTCGACCACAATTACAATTTAATTATGAGACAAACAAAGAAAGAAGACAAGACAAATAATTTCTGCAGAATTTTCTCTGCTCACAAACTGTGAAAACTTTCTTATTCACTTTGCAACTGCAAAATACTGTGAATGACTGGCTTGACTTGCTTACAAAAAATAGGGGTACCCTCTATTTATAACTGAGCTTGCACCTTAATCCAAAAGCTCAAAATATCTATTTTGTTACTAAATCAAATCTAATTTATTTTAGACTTAAATCAAATCTATTTAAATCTAAACAAATCTAATCTTTTCGACACTATGAATTACAATTTAACAATAACTTATGATTGAAAATTCAACCGATTAAATTACCAACTAACTATTTGTACATTTTTCTCTCTTTTTTATGTTTTTATCTCATTTCATTATTTGTTATTATTTAGAATTAGTTAGCTTTTATTATCAATCAGACCATAAATATTAGCTTATAAATTTTATTAAATTTTATTAATATTTGTGAGTTCTTGTAATTAGGTTTGAATGTTTTATTTAATAGTCTGATACTTCAAAATAAATAGTTGGTAGGATTTTTTTTATTAGTTAGAGTAGTATTATTTTATTAGTAACTTTGAATTAATTATTATTTTTAACGTTAATCGATTGTTTTGTATAATAAATTCTTAATGTACCTCTTATCATTATTTGGTTTAATTTACCTCTTATCATTATTTGGTTTAATTTATTCAGTTAGTTTTTCCTAATTTATTTAAGTTTATTAATTTATTAATTTTGTTTATTATTAAAATATAAAACACTACAAAAAATATACCTTTAACATTTTAGATAAAAGTTAACTAATTTGTACATAACTTTTTATGATCCCGATATTTTTAATAATTCTAATCATATAAATCTAAACACTTTTTTAATTAAATTAATACTAATATTTTAAAAATAATAGGATTGGTAGATTTTATATGTGCCGAATTCTCAAATAATTGATTGATGGACTTAACGTTTATCAATTAATTATTTAAATCAAACAGTTAAAAATCAAATCAAATAAATTCTTTCGCCCTCATACAATTTAATTTTAATAAAGATCAACTTCTTATAAAAATCAATTTCTTCACCTAAAGCGATTTAATTTTAAAGAAGATCAACTCTTCTTCAACCAAATTAAATCAAACATTAAGACAACTAACCAATTCAAATATTTTTTCACTAACTTAACAAAAAACTTCAAGAACATTTTCAAAAAAGGATTAAATAGCATTGTTTTTAAGTTTAACTGCGAACTGCGTCTACGATTACTCATTTTTCAAACTCAGACAAGGTTCAAGGATAATTCGAAAGCAATTCTACGCAATCTTATAAAAAACATCAACCAAACACATACGAACTACGAAATTGAACTCTGATTCTTCGCAACGAGATACGTAGACACGCGGTTAAAACCAAGACGAGTCACGCTATTAAAAAATTAAATATTTTCTTGTACACATGAAAATAATAACATTTAAGGGAGATGAAGAGTGTCTAACACCTTCCTTTCGTTTAACCAACTCACGAACTTAGAATTTCTAAACAATTAAGGTTATTCATTATTCCCCCGTCCTTAAGACGAAATTTAATGGTAGTGACTCTCATATTTTTTGCCGGTTACGATATATCCCATAAATTATTCAACCACGAATAATAAAATTCTTGAGTGGTCATTGATATTTTTTTTAAGAGCCAAAATATCACTCTTCAACTAACCCCATTTTGTAAAACTGTATTGATTAAATAAATGTTTCAGATTATCTCAAACCTTCTTAGCAACATCTATTTTGCTAGTTGCATTCTTATTGATCGAGAAACATGACCTTTAACTTACTAATATCTCATGTTTTCAACTCTTTTGAATACGTTGTTTCATCTATGCTTAAGAGAAGTGCTATCAACATAAATCTACATCTTTTTTCTTTTATTTTTTATTGCATCTCTGATAATTATAATTTTGAGTTGAATATTAATAGATTAAAGATAATTATCTTTTTAATTGGCTATTATTACACTTCTAAGACTTCAAAATACAAACAAAAGGACCACTCTCAATTTTTTGGAGAAAAATATTTCTGTAACACACAAATCAATGAAACCAATCTATTAATTAAATAAAGAAATAAATCGTAATAACAAAATCAAAGAAATTTTTTTATTGTTGCAAATGTTTCTTTGAGTCAACTAATCTCTGGTACCATGTTAACAACTTAGATGACAAAATAAAGAAAAAGATTTTAGAGTTTCAATAATTAAATAACATAATTTGTGAAAGTAATAGAATGTAAAGAAAATATATATAGTAAAATGTAAATAGATTAAACCACCTTTTACTCAATTATAACAAACAAACAAAAAAAAGATATTACATATTATATAGATACAAGACATAAAACTTTTTCTAATGTCATTCTTAATGATCTTTATCATAATTTCACCCTTTATCTTACTTTTGACCCAATACATCAGGATTCAAATTTTCTATAAATGTTTTTTGTTAGGGCAATTTGGGGAGAGCCTTTTCACACTACTCATTTATAATTCCTTTTCAAGACTTCACTATTCCCCCTTCAAATAGAAGTTCTTTGATAATTCAGAGAGAATATTTTTATTTATAAACTTTTCTTTTTAATAATACACCTTCGTGAGAGATACGTCACGTATTCATTCAAAATTTTAAAATTATAGATACGTGAATTCTCCCACCTATAAATATTCAAGTCTTCGTATCTCTAATCGATATGAAATTTTCTCAGACTACTCACACTTTAGTACTCTTTTTCAACATTTTTAACTAAAAAAACAAATAATTATTTATTCATATATTGCTGTATAATCTCAATTCCACAAATATATAATTACCTGAACTTTTTTTATATCAGGTAAGAAAAAAAAAGAAAAAACGAATACAAATACAGTTAGTGTAAGTGACGAATATAAGGATTGTGCATGTAGCTTAGGATAGTATATATGCAGGGTGGTGGGTGTACAATTAGTACTGAACATTATAAGCCGTGAGAAAAGAGGAAAGTGTAACTGATCATGAAATGGGCCATGCTCATACCTGAGACACATGAGCTCATCTAAAGTATAAAATTTTCAAACATGCTCATACCATGATCAAGATGATGAACAGATTCCCTGCATATGAAGAAGACGTGTTCAATTGGTATGTGAAGTAATATACCAAAAGAAAAGACAAAAACATATTTGTACAATGGGACTGATGAAAGGTTAGTGAGGAAATGGCCAAAAAAAAGTAGTGTGGAGTGGGGGAAGAGGGTCCTTTATGTAACATAGGTAATTTATTAAATTCATGTAATAAAAATTGCATATGACTAGTTTCCTTCTATTATTTGTTGACTATGAGGTCTCGTATAACTTTAAGCCTCGTTTCACTTGGATCAAGTTTGAACACATGACATGTTTTTATAGGACAAAATTGTTATTGTCCTTCCAATAGTTACACATGACCATACCATATCAACGATACATGATGAGATGCTCATGAGGCCGGGGAAATAAGTAGGATAGAGAGAAATAATATCATATAATTTTTGGCCCTATGTGAGTTTAGGTAAATTTTATAAAGAAAATGACTTTAGCCTATATCTTTGTTTTTGTACAATTTTAAGCCATTTTAAAACTGGTCTAAGAATTTGGCAATGTACTTGGAATATATATTAACATTTAAATCTGCCTTGGAAGATATGCTAAACTTTAGAACTCGGTGGTATTTTTAACAATTGTCTTTAATAGATAAAACTGTCGGGAATTTAAAAATATAATTTTTTTAATAGACAAAAATTCTAATTAAAAGTGGAACATTAAGGATACTCCGTCTAAAATTATAATTTGGAAAACTCCTACTTCTTAAAATAGAGGAGGGGTAGGATATTCTAAACAGAGAAGTTACAGTGTTCGGCGGTTTTATAAAAAGAGCATAACTAATTCGAAGACCTAAGGACTATTGCCGACATAAAATCATCAAAAATGAACGCAACTCCCTTAAAAATGGCATCATTACGCAGTCGCCAAAGACTCCACATTGTAGCTAATCAAATTACGGAAATAATCATCCTTTTTAACTTGCATGACACTTTCTCACTGTGATAAAAAAAGGCCACAAACTCTCCCAAGGACAACTCTACTGACATGCCTATTCACTGCAAAACATTCTTCCAAATTCTCACTGAAATCAAATAGTCCTTAAAAAGATGCGATATAGTTTTCAACTCCGTAATGCAAAAGGAACAACGTAAGTCTCTATTCTCCGTCAAAATTCCTCTTCTGAATAATACATCTTTGGTAGACATCCTATTGAGTAAAAATATCCAATCAAAGATGGACAAATTCGACGGGCCTTTTATCTCCCACAACTGGTTGATAACTTTCACGACACAGAGTGATAGGGAGGAGCCGTAGTTACTGTCACATAAAAGATCAAAGCATCATTTTACCTTGAAGATACCATTGGCTGCTCTCATCCATATGTATGTATCAGCCTTATGCTCCACCAGATTGGCCGCCTGCACCACAACCTTGAAATCATCCCACATAACATGATCAATGACATCCATGTTGTTCACTAAATCAATTAGGTTCCGTGTCCACACATTATCTACCCAGTTGCCAACATCTACTATGCAACAACTTGCACAGTTGGCTATTTCAAATATTTCAGGAAAAGCATCCACCAGAGTTGCATTCTCAACCATTGTGAATGCCAAAAGGAAGTTCCTTTGCCTTTTTTGACAATGCACCGGACAACACCTGCATAACGATTAGCCAAGCTAAAAATAGAATTATCGGACATCACCAAGTCCCTCCACCAAATAGAATCCATCCTGAACAGCGCACTTTTATTTTTGATTAACACTTTCAATACAGAATTACCATATCTACTTCTAAGTATGTTACACCAGACAACATCTTTATTGTTTATAATTCTCCATTTCCATTTATTCAGAAAAGCCAAGTTCAATACTTCAACATCCTTCACTCTGAGGCCTCCTTTCTCTGGAGTTTTACACACGGTCTTCTAACTCACCCAATGCATCGTCCTTTTGTTTTTGCTACTGTGATCGGTGGGAATGAGAACTGACTGTTTTGGAATGCTGGTTCGCGTTTTGCGTTTGTTTTTGCAAAATGTCGCGGTAAGCAAGAGTCGCCACCGTCTTTTATTTTATCCAACAAGGAAAGGACAAAAGCACAGAAAAATTCCTTTTTGAGATATTTCTCGGGTTTGTGAGGTAGATTATAGAAAGGGAAGGTGTTATCACCCTTTCTATTCGTGGTTATCCACGGGCTCTTAGGTACTTGCTCATTGTGTTTTCAAAAGTTTGCTTTTCTTTGTGTTTGTGGGTTTGAAAAGAGTTTTTGTTTTGAAGAGAATGTAAGTGCGAAAAAGTTTCGTTTTGTTTTAAAAGGAGAAAGCACTTAAGAACATCTACCTACTCAAAAAAGAATTAAACTGTGCAAATGTCCTTTAGACAGTGCTATCCCACTATTGAGGAGTAGGTAGCACCATCGTTGGAGTTTTCGGGTCAATTCAATTAAGGGACATGTGGTCACTAAAGTAATGCTAGGACGCCTTAGCGGTAACCCTAATATCCTAGATCATTTTTTCGAGGCAACCGTTTCGAGGCAACTATGATCTTTGGACAAGAGGGCGACCTCTAAAACTTCCTATACTCAATGACCACGTTCGAGGCAACCGAGTGAGGTGTACCCTAAGAGTGCGCATGTGCGAGTGTATTGTTTTTCGGTTATTTTTATCTGTACATGTCATGGGTGAGCTATTGTTGATTTTAAGTTAAAGATTGATCTTGTCATGCATTGCCTATTTATCAAACATCTAGCAGTTAATATTGTGCGGAAATTAAATTGCGGGAAATTAAATCTAAGCTATTACAAGGCGTCGGGTATTTACATCGCCTAAGACAAACCCTTTAATTTAAATTGAGGAAAGTAAATAAAAGCGATAAATAATTAAAAGTCCTATTGAAACTATTACATTCCCGAAGCAATTACATTATTGGATAAAAGATGAAACGCGTGCGAGAAAATTAAATCGGAGCGTTTTTAGGGTCGTCCTCGTCGCTCCTTTCTGGAGAAAGAGAAAGGGTCCTGTAGTTGTGCCGGGCACGATGGTCGTGCTGAGATTCCCTCGAGCGTGGTGCTCGGTGGTTGAAGGTCACACGCCCGTCTCTGTTGTGTCCTCTGTCGTGCCTTGATGGGTCGCGACTGGGCTCTTCGGTAGGGATGACGGGCTGTCTTTCATATTGGGGCCGCCTCTGCCTTGGTGGGGGAGAGGGGCTCCTAGAGTTCTCCCTGTAATGTCTCCGCGGGGGAGTAGGGTGTCGAACTTCTTCTACCCGGGGAGGTGGAGATGGTGGCCTCTGATGCCTCCTCGGGGGTCGTCGATCATGCTCAAGTGCCCTTAGTCTTTCTCCTTGCGCGAATAGGAGATAATTTGTCTGGTTGATGGCCGCGAACAGTGCCTGAGTCGTGGCATCTGCCCCGGCAGGGACTTGGACTTCATAGAACCGGGCAGCTTGGCGATAGGCGAGAGCCTCTGGGTCGTCTTTGAGTCTTGGAGGAGTCGTCGAGGATGACGCAGTGTTCCCGTCCCTGCGGGTGGAAGGTCCAGGGGCGGTTGTCACGGGGATGGCATTGTGGCCGGCATCACTGGGATTGTCCAGGTGCCCATTCTTGTCCGCGGGACCGTTGTTGGTGTCGGTGACGCGGGTGTGCTGTTCTTCACGAGCTGGGTCAGCCATGACAGGTAATTGGATTGAGCTTTGGTCTTTGAAATTGTTCGTTAGACGGGGAAGCTGTTTCCCACAGACGGCGCCACTGATCTGACCTGATCAGAAGGTTTGGACCGTCACGGCTTGCTCCGAGCTGAAGGCTTTTTGAACGAGGAGGGGGGGGGGGGTACCTGCAAGGCACTCCGATGCTAAAGTCAGTGGGAGTACGAGCAGATAATAGAGTTGAGGTTAGAATGATGAATACCTGACCCTCTGGAAACAGAGGGTATTTATAGCCCCCAGCGCTGGGCCAAGGTTCCTTCATTGGGCCGGGCGGATTTGGCCCAATGGAGGAACTGCCAGGTTCTACGTGGGTAGTGGGGATCAGCACGTGGTCCCCTTCCTGGATGTGCTGCGTGAAGTGCGGGCGGACAGAGACGCGGTCTTTCCGGAGTATCGTTGGGGGAACGGTGGAATGAGTCTGCCCTAGCCGGGTAGCTCGGGTCCATGTTGAGCCGGGCACCACGGTGCTGAGCTCGACGCCAGGGCCTCGAGCTGGACGGCGGGTGTCGAGCTGGACGCCAGGACATGGAGCTGACGGCAGGGTGTCGAGCACGACTTCACCGCGTGGGCTGGGCATCGGGATGTCGAGGTGGACATCAGTGTGTCGGGCATGGACGTGACCCCCTTTGCCCAGTGTGGTCCTTAGTGAGTCTCTTTGGACTGGGCCTCAGTAATGCTTTTGGGCCTGTCGGGCCCAGTCCAGAACAGTTTATAACACCAATTACTAACAATCAAAAGAACAAAAATAATGCTCAAATATACTTAAATCAAAACCAAGTACCACAAATATCTAACACTTTGTAATCACCATAATCTTCCAATAAGCAACATTCTTCTTTCTCCATAACCATCTTCACATAACCTTCAAGAATCAACAAAAATAAGCAACAATCGTCAAGTGTGGCAATTCAAGAATTCAATACCAAAAGCACCATCACAAATCAAGGTTCAATTATCAAAAATTCAGCAAAGCAAAAACAAGATAAAGGAAGAAGAATCTTGATTCAGAACTTTTACCGAACACTTGGTGGGCATATCGGGAAACGAAAAATCCAGCACCAATTCTCCATCAATACGTCAACCACAACCTCCAACAACAATAAATAACAACAATGTTGTAGCGATAATTGAAGTGAAACAGAAGCAAAAAGAAGAAAGAACCAGCGGAGACATTTTATCGAACACTTTGTGAGCATGATCGAAAGTTGTATTTTATTCTCCCAATCGCTTCATCCAGGAAAATACTCATCAAATTTATTGTTATGTATGTTGTCTGTTTAGTTCACAATCAAATTTGCATAAAAAACAACTCAAAATCAGAAGTTATAGCATACCCGTAAGTGTGTCGAAACTGTAAATTAGCTTACCAAAACACTATAGCTTAAAACCAAAATCTGAAAATTCAGAACATCAAATATGTGCCGATAATTTTGGAATCGCGTTTGAGAATCGTTTCTGAAATAAGAACGTTTTGGCGTTTTTTCCTTTTCACGATAAGAAATTTTCCACAATTTTAACTTGTTGCATTTCATGTTTCCGCTTCTGTCCCTGTTTCCATTTTACACTATTCGACGTTTCCACTTCTATTCATGTTTCTATTTTCCACGATTTGACGTTTCCGCTTTTGTTCCTGTTTCCATTTTCCACGATTCGAACATAAGTTGTTTTGCTTGAGAGGAAAAAAAGTGTATCCGAAAATAATCACTTTCCCTACGCGTTTTTTCGTTGGTTGCAGCGGGATGATAAAACGTGGCGGTGGAGCCTGGGCAGCTGCCCTACCTGGTCGGGCGCTAGCTCCACCTATGGATAACACAAAATTTTAGAACACGAACATGAACATCATACCAAGTACGAAAACCTCACCATAATGTCATAAGAGACGAATTATCTTGTCATACTCCAAATTTGTCAGCCCCATTTCAAAAATTCCAATGATGTTCAAAATTGACTTTTATAAATTTCTTTGGTTTATCTACACTAACATTTTGTGTTTTATAAATATTCGTTTGCAATTTATTTTGTCTACTTAAAAAATATATAATAGTTTATTTTATTTTTCAAATAGAAAATACTTACTCGCCTTCATATACTTTCAACTAGCTTTTTATTTCGAATAAGTAATATAGCACAATTGGAAAGGAATAAAATTTGTAAGTATGAGGTTACAGGTTTGAATCTCACAGATTCCACTTTAGATATTTTTTTCTGTTTATTTGTTACTAACTTTATTTCCATTTTTAAATAATAAAATTGCTTTTTTTTTATTATTAATACTTAATTTTTGTTTTTCTATTTTATGCATTTTTTAAATAATCATATTTAATTTGTTCAAAAAATAATCATATTTAATTTATTTTATGCAGTTTTAATCAAAAAGTGTTTAAAAAATCATTAAAAAAATCAAATCTTTTCCACTTATTTTCTATTGGTCATACTATTGCTCTAATTTTTTTATTTAATCTTGATCATTATTTAATTTTATTTCCTATTTTATTGATCTAATTTTTACTATAAATATATCAACAATTCTACAACTTTGATCACACATTATTCACAGATCAACCATCACTAACAATTCCACACTTTCTTTCCAAATTTTCTTTTCAAAAAATCTTTTTACAAAAAAAAACTTTTGCTGTTATTATGTTATTTTGGCCGATGATTTTCAATATGAGACCCCCTCTCTTTTATTTTTATCATCATTTTTTAGTTTTCGATTGTTAAACCACATGATGATACCTCTATGATGGTTCTTTATTTCAATTGATTCGCTATTTATTAATTACACAACAACAAAACCCTTTTTTGATACATATCTTAATTTTTATTTTTATCTTGTTATAGTCACTTTTACTAAACAAGCCTTCTCTATTCCTTCTACGCATAAAGCACTGCACACAATTTTTTCAATTGATTTTTTTACACAGTAAAAAAACGCTTTCAAAATAACCATACCCAAATATCAACCTTGAATCACTTTCACCATCTCTATCACTACAAACATTATCGAACATAAACCAAGCAACTTGAACCATACTAGTCACAAATTCAGACATGTACAATTTTCAGAATCAATCAATTTATCACTACCTTTTTTATCCATACATCACAAACAAATACCAATGCAAGAGAAGCATTCCAAACATAAATTCAAAGTTACCGCAACAAAACTCAGAACGACAAAACAAAGAAGGAAGAAATAGAAACTAGTTCATACTTTCGTGTTCTACAACGACACCAACCCCATAAACTAAATTGTGAATAGAATTTATTCATGCTAAAAATATATTATCAATATTTGTATAAAATTTTTTTTGCAGGTAAAAAGAATTTCAACAGAAAAATAAACCCAAGGGTCAATCTCAGGTTCAGAGCAAAAGAAGATTGAGTCCTCAACTGTGCAACTCTTCTGTCTGTAATCCTTCAACTGCCGGACATCCATTATCATCACCAGATTTTGGAAGCCACTGTCACCGGATCAGAAGTTGCCATGACTCTAGCCGGTGAACAACAATGCGATTCAAAACCGCGCTACAAACACACGGAGAGCCACCGACTCCACCACACCGACCTCGACGAAGCTGCAACCTCCAGGATCTGTCGCTTCCTTGCTGCACCACGTGTCTGCGCCTCCACCAAGCCACCGTCATCAACTTCGGCCACCACTCCATTGATAGAGTCATCCCCTTCACCTCAAGTTTTAGTTATTTTATTTAGATCTGTGTTGATTTATTTGTGGGAAGTTTATTTTATTTGCCAAAGGAAAGAGAAAGTGAAGAAGTAAGAAGAGAGAAAATGAAAAGGGTCATATGAAAAAGAGAGTGGATTGGGAATTTAGACTTCTCTGTTCTATCATTTAATTCTTTTTTTTTTAAATTTAAATGGCCATAAGTTGGTTTTTTATTGAGACATAACTGATGGAAATCCATTAAAGTCTATCATGAATTTCTACAACAATGACAATTTAATTATGAGACAAACAAAGAAAGAAGACAAGACAATAATTTCGACAGAGTTTCTCTCTGCTCACAAACTGTGAAAACTTTCTTATTCACTTTGCAACTGCAAAATACTATGAATGACTTTTTTGACTTGCTTACAAAAAATAGGGGTTACTCCCTCTATTTATAACTGAGCTTGCACCCTAAGCCCAAAGCTCAAAATATTTATTTTGTTACTAAATCAAATCTAATATATTCTAGACTTAAATCAAATCTATTTAAATCTAAACAAATCTAATCTTTTCAACACTATGAATTACAATTTAACACATCACCTAATTCATTGTGTCTAAACTATCTATATTCACCATGACTCTTAGCCTTCTGAATACTTCTACTTGCACTCCCTTCGTCATGATTTCTTGAATCTGATTCTCAGTTCTGCAGTGTCCCAAATTCATCTTCCCATTTGCTACCTGCTCTCGAAGATAATGGAACCTCATTTCGATGTGCTTACTTCGACCATGTGCTATTGGGTTCTTCACCAGATTGATAGCTGACATACTGTCGATCTTCATGGTAATTGTTGCATGATCTTTCCCTGTTATCTCTTCGACCAAATTCACCATCCAAGTTGCTTGACATGGACAAAGAGAAGCAGTTATGTATTCTGCTTCGCATGATGATAATGTCACTACTGGTTCCTTTCTTGAATTCTAAGCAACTGGTGCACCACCTAGCATAAACATATATCCTGCTGTTGACTTTTGATCTTCAGCATCACTACACCAACTCAAATCAATGTATCCCACTAACTTGCATTCTTTTCCTTTATCAGATGTGGGAAACAAAATTCCATAATCGAAAGTTCCTTTGAGATACCTTAGTATCCTCTTCACTGCTGCTAGATGTGATACCTTTGGCTTCTGCATGAATATACTTACCATACCTACACTATATGTTAAGTCAGGCCTTGTATGACAAAGATATCTCAATGATCCAATAATTCTTCTGTATTGGGTTGGATCAACATCATCTTGTTTACAGTGATTTCTGGTAAACAACCGCTAGTCCTCTAAACTATCAAATAATCTTAATGATTGTTATTTAATCTCTCTGGTAACTTGCAGGATCGACTAGATTGATCCTATGGGGTATTGGTCGTTTGGATAAATCTAATTGTAAAACTGATATTCATAGTTAGGATTTGTATTTAGAATGTCTTATAGACGTTCAATTCACTTCGATTATCATGTTAAAAGAATCTAATGACATGATCAAGTAAAGAAATACGAAACTATGCAATAAAGATTCAGTAAAGAAATACGAAACTGAATTGAATGAATAAAGATTCGATTGCAAAGAAATGTTTAAATGCAGAAATGAGTAAATGACTTTGAATGTAAAGACTTTAATGTAAATAGCATGAGTATAAAAGCATGAAATGTAAAAGAGTTTATGAAATGTAAAGGATTCGAATAGAAGAAAAACATTTAAATGCAAGAAATAAGTAAATGACTTTGAATGTAAAGGCTTTAATGTAAAAAGCATGAATATAAGAGCATGAAATGTAAAAGAGTTTCTGAAATGTAAAGGATTCGAATAGAAGAAAACGTTTAAATGCAAGAAATAAGTAAATGACTTTGAATGTAAAGGCTTTTGAATGACATTGACATAAAAATGGAAGATAAACTGGAAAAGATAAAGAGTTTTACTAAATTGTAAATGTTTGGTGTTATCATACGTACATTGTTCGAGCATTCGTTTCCCTATCCATGTGGTATTTTGAATGTTTACTGAATTTTGTACAATAGATATGGCACACGAAATCCTAACGCTAAGACTTCTATTTATACTACTTCGACCATAACGGTCTTGCTTATAAGATCATGCCACGTTCGAAACATGCAGAGCACTGCTCCTCTCTAGCTTCCACGCGTCTTCGAACGCTCCAGCGCATATATATTTGAATTCCAACATCCCGCTCGCGTTTGAATTTCAAATGCCTTGGCAATCTTCGCTTCGAACTCATTTCACAGACACAGTCTCGTTACCACTTCGAGGCTTCTTTTAAATATATCTTCACAACTGTCACTCGAAGCTCCGAGCTTTGACATGTCCGTTCGAAGAACCGCTTCTACCATTCTGAATTGTAACATTTTGCTTTATTCCAACGAAACATCCAATTTGCTCCATTTCGAACTGTATCATCAAAATCTTCAGCCAACAAAATTCCTCTTTAAAATATGTATTTCGATCCTATGAGAAACACTTATTTTAAATATATTTGCAAGATTTTGATGTGACTTTTGAGAAATCATAACATTTATTGTGTATGACTTCAATCACGTCAATCACGACGCCTCTTGGATTTCTTAACCGTCTTGAATCAGTATTTCACAGCATAGTGCAGTCATAAAACAATGATTATTATTAATCACGCTTATTACCAATATCAGCTTTTACGCCACCTCCTCCTCAATCCAACCCACGACTCCCACGTATCATAGTCTCACTTAGTGGATGTTTAAGCTTCCACACTATAAAAACTAATCAACTTAGTCTTTTATTCTTTTTCCACATTCTGAAACTTTTTCTTCCTCTCCTCTTACTAAAACCCTAAAACTTCCAACAATCTCCAACAATGTCTTCAACAACATCATCCCAACTGAAGAAAACTTCCAAGAAGAAAAGCAAGAACACAGGAACAATTATGGAAAGCAAGGTCGGCACTCATCAAGGTCAATCTGTGCTTATCCCTCAAATGATCTCCAAGGAAAAGGAAATGCTCTACGCCTCTCAGGTATTGATTCCAACTAACGCTGCTGGAAAGAGGTTTGCTCTAATGGGTCCTCTTACAGTTTTTGAAATCTTGAAAGATACTAGAAAAATATTCCCTGTCTGTTATAACTTTAAACCCTTATTTAATAAGATGGATATCCCTAAGATAGGCGAGTCTTCTGATTCAAAAACCATAGAAACTCCAACCGTTCCCCCAAAAGATCCCTTTGTGTTAGACTACGTGAAGAGCAACTTTAAACCATTCCGATCCTGCCCTACCTCTGACATAGCTTACCAAAACTGGCTCACCAAAGTAGAAGCCAAGAAATCCCAGCAATGGGAGGAATTAGGAATCTATAATCTGATTAAGTTATCAAAACCAGGCTTCACCTATAGTCATCCACTGTTATTTGCATCCTTATATTTCTGGGACAGCACCTACAACACCTTTCATCTCCCTGGGGGAATGATAACACCCACTGTTGTACCCCAAAATTTTCCCTCCCATTTCTCATTGATTTCTCCTCACAAAGCTCTTGAAGCTCAAGATCCAGTTAGGGTTTCATCTGCTCAAGACTCCTCCTTGTACTGCTAACCCCAAATTAGGGTTTGTGTTTGCACCAAGATGTTTTGACCAAAGGTACCCAAGATGACTTTCTTGCTTCATATTGACCTCCTAAGTTTATCCATACCAAGTTTCAAGTCCTGATTCCAAATTTTGCCCAGTCAATTGGACAGTTGACCTAGAAATCAACTGTATTGGGGAAAAAGTCAACTGTGGCCAATTGACAGTCAAATCTCATGAAATTAAATCCACATCAACATTATGAACTCCTAGGAGTTATTTGATCAAGTTTGGACCACAACTCCACAAGAAATTTGATCAGATCACCAAAAGGGCAAAATGGTCATTTTTAGGGTTTTGACTGTACAGAGGCAATTTTTGACTGTTTGACCTAGCCAATGGCAAACCAAGCTCACATATGGACTCAAGGACCCCATGGAATTATCTTGACATGCTCAACAAGTTCAAAAGATCCCAAATACACAAGATTGACAATTGAATTTCCCAGTCAATTGATCAGTTTTGACTGTATACTGAAAAGTCAAACTTTGACTTTTTGGTCAAAATCAAGAGTCAAGATTCATTTTTCATCAAAATATGCCAAATCATGAAACTTGTTCACCAAGAAATCACAATTTGCAAATTAGGGTTAGAAAATGGAATTTTTCATAACTTAGAATTTTTCTAAGTTATGAAAAACCCTAATTTTTTCCCAACTTTGCCCCACCTTTTCACCAAGATCCATTTAGATTCAAACAAAAGTCAAAACATGAAAGTTGTAGCTTGTTGCATAATCTACAACTTTGATTCACAAAGTTTTCTCATTTGAAGCTTGTATCTCAAGTTACAATTTTTTGAATAAGGGCACTAAACCATTTTTAACTTAGTAAAATTTTGACCTATTTTGACAAGGTTTTCTACCTTACTTCAAGGCCATTTTTCATACCCTTCCACTTGGAATTTAAATTTGAATTTCAAAGATGGATTGTATTACACATTCCAAGCTTTCCAAAATGTCCAAGAACTCATCAAACAACCTCATAACTTGAGAGATTCGAATTTCACAAGTTGGCAAAAATTCACTTTTGTTCTTAACCAAAACATGTTCATAACTTAAGTTATTTTCAAGTCAGCTTAGTTTGTGCTAAGTTACAGGTCCTTAAACCAAGTTACACTCCATAATTTAATGCTTGTTCATTGTGTCAAGACCTTGTTTCATGAGCTAAAGCATTGTATGAAGGATTAATCCCAATTTAGATAAAGCATTCTTTCCATATTTGTAAAAGTTTGCTTTATGTCAATTGGTAAATCAAGGAGGTACAAATCAAATCTCTCTAGCACAAGATTATGAGCATAACACTCTGATCAAGGAGGGATTATGCAGCACATTAGGAGG